CTTACTTGGCTTTATCGTCTTCATGCTTTGTTTGTGGAGCTCTTCATCATCGCATCATCACATTACTATGCACTGTCGAGGAAGACTTCAGTACATATAGCAGGGTATTGTCATTACCCTGCCTTTAAGTGGCACTAAGTAACTTAACATGGCAATCACAGGCAAAGGAAAAACCCTCTCTCACTTCGAATGTAAAGGATAACCTTACAGCTGATATGAAGATGATGTTACCCATTTAAAAAAAATGCTTCCTGTTATGGGAGTCTTCAGAGTCATGCGCTTTCATTACATGCAGATATTACGTATATATTCGTATATTCTTAGCTGACATTTTTTGAACGTGAGCTCGGCGATTTGAACGAGGTAAATGCCGCTGCTCGTGAGTGCATGACTCATGAATTTAAATAATGATGGAAGAAACGTCACAGCGACATGAGGCACGCTCGTCTGTCAGTCAGGGAGATGCTGGTGCGTCTCTTTTGAGGAGCAAAAAGCCTCCCAAGTGGTACATTTGAATCATCAGCCATCTCATTGCTGTTTGATTGATGCCAAGTTCGTCATTCCTGTGGTCTGCTATATTACATTAGGCTCTTAATTAGGAGTCTGAATCCTCCACTATACTGAACTGTAAAATCCAGATGACAAAGATTGGAAAGGAAATCAAATCATTTTCATGATAGAGCCAATAAATACAGATCGGATTTAGATGGTCTGATAGCGAAACCCTGTTTCAAAGCACATGTTTGTCTTAAAAAAGATTGTAGTAATTGCTTGACATTAATTAGAATAATGGATGTTGTGCAGAGAATAACCTGCAGCCTTCAAGGATGTTTTTATAAAATAGAGAAGAGTCTGGTTCATGCGCATACAAACAAATCCTATTTGTGCACTCTTTCTAATGTAAAACAGTGGCTGTTCCATGGTATTAATACTAACAAGCGCTTGCATAATCAAGTAATTATACAACACAAATAATGAGTGTCTCACCTGACATTTGTGGAGCAGTGCAGCAGGTGTAAAACCTCTGTTCCTGTCGTGTGACTTGTGAAACCTCTTCAGAGGTAGAGTTGTGTTTGGAATATTAATCGCAGGGGGTTTTTTTTGCATTTCTCCAAAAGCAAGTGTGTTTTGTGAGTGTATGAGAGGAACATCTGTTAACACGACTTTAATAAGATCAGGACCCCACAAGGCTTGGACCAAACCCACAGTGGGTTTCTTTTCTCTCAGCTCCAAAGCTCAATACACAACCAGTGGATAAACAATTTATGTTGATTCAATTTATGAGGTGACCTAATGGTTTTTTTTAGTTCTTCTTCTACTTCTTCTTTTTTTGGACAACAAGCCTTGCTCCTGAGTAATATCCTGACATTTCTGTGCTGCAGTTGCCTGAACTGAATATTTCACAGCGGCCTCTGTAGAGGGAGTGACACTGTTGTTATGCAGATAGCTGCGCCATTCCAGCAACAGCGAATACATTACAAAGGATTTCGTTCTTTTTCTCCCCTCTATCGTTCTCTCTCTTTTCTCTCTCTCTCTCTTTTTTTTTACAATCTGCATGAAAGCAGCTTGAGGTGTTGAATCACTGTCAGAAAGCTGCCCTAAGAGCAGAGTTCATACACTGCAGGGTGAATAGTCTTAGAAGATCTGCTGTCAGTTACACATCAGAGTGGAAAAGTGCTATTAGCAAAACCTCTGGAAACATAACAGGTAAAACACACAAGCACTGATTTAGTTCTATAACTTGTAAATTATAAGAAAGAAAACCCCTGACAACTCCAGTCACTTTCCTTCACACAGCGCTGTCACATTTTTCTGTACATCTACTCAGCAATATTGTTGTTGGGCATGAATTTGGAAGATGTATAGTGTTTTGTGGAACTCTTTAAAATCTGACAAACTACTCTTCTTTGAGTTATAATATATATATAAGTTCAAACATGGCAATTATATTGTGAGCAAAGCTGTTATAAAGGCAAATGTAAGGGACGCCTCACTTGCAGGCAGTTGGTTTTCACTGTATCTGACTTTACTCGTAGATCGTGTGAACTGTTAGCAGTCATAATTTGCATTTCAATGGGTGTGGCAACTCTGGTCAGTTGCTGAATATCAGGCAGGAAAATGCACTTCTTTTCTGGTTTCATCTTCTACTCACTCTGGTGTTTTCAACTTTTCATGAAAAACAAGAACTTCAATTTTTATCAAAATGCATTGAATTTCTAATTTGTTTACCTTGTGCATCTAAATAAGAGCACGCCAGAGTTCTCAATAACAATAAAAGCTGTATGCATATTTTGTCATGTAGCTAGGAGGAGTAGGAGTTAAGCTAAGAGAAGTTCACGGTTCAAATCTGGTTTACACTACATATACAAATACACTGGTTTTATTTGATTTAAATATTCTTAGTTTGCAACACATAATTCCCCCTATCCATTACAGAGGTGATTCTGAAGTCATTGTTTGTGTGACACCTTGTGGCAAATGGCTTTAAGATTGTATTTTTGTTCCTCTCATATTCCTCTTTTTTTCTCAGCTGTGCCTACTCAATATTTAATGTGAACTTAAAATGACTTAATGTGAACTTGACTTGCCAAATAAGGAGAAAGGGCTCAACAGGGGGTATTTCAACACCAATCAGGGGCACATCTGTGGTTTTTCTTGTGAAACTCCTGTGTTGTGTGCATTTTTTATGCGGCTTTATGAGCAGAGAATGAAGGGATTTTTGCAACAAGCAAACCAATTTACCGACAGTTTCTCTTTTAAAATCAAGCTGAATAAGTGTGCTTGATGTGACAATGAGAATTGTGGAGGTGGCTTTATCCACTGTATATGTGACTGGCTGACAGCAGAATGCTGTGTTGCTTGAAGCCCAGGACTCACATGGATTGCTCTTGCTGCAGATACATGCACCCAACACTTTATTAGGAACAGCTTCCTAGTACTGGATTATACTTCCTTTTGTCTTCAGATCTGCTGTAAGTCTTTGTGACAGATTCAATGAGGTACTGGAAATAGTCCTCAGGGATTTTGGTCCATATTGACATGATGCTGCAGATTTGTCAGCTGCACATCCCACAGGTAGATGGGTGGATTGAGATCGGTTTACTATGAAGGTCATTTAAGAACAATTAACAGATCATATATATATCATATTCAAGGAAGCAGTTTGATATTATTAGAGGTTTTTTTTTTTTTTATCATGGTGCATTATCCTGCTAGAAGAAGCCACCAGAACATGGATATACCTTTGTTGTAGTGGTTATGTGAGTTACTGTTTCCATCCCATTAGCTCAAACCAGTGTGGCCATTCTCCTCTGACCTCTGGCATCAAAAAGGTATTTTTTTCCTGCCAATTACTGAGTATTTTCTCTTTTTTGGATCTCTTTAAACCCTGGAGATGGTTGTGCAGGAAAATCCCAGTCCATCATCAGTTTCTGAAATACTCTGTCGAGCCTGTCTGGTGCCAGAAACCATGCCATGTTTAACGTCAATTAAATAATATTTCAACATCCTGATGTACAGTTTGAACTGTACATCAGAATTCACCCATTCAGTCCATAATACCATACACAAATCCAGCCTACTATGTGTGTTCATTTTTGATTAATTGTCCAAAAACTGCACAATAATGCAAACCAATGTTAAATTAAGCATTTATCTTATAAATTCAGTGTATGAGTTTCAAGCCTGCTTTCAAGCTGAGTTACAAAGAGCCAAATTTCTCTATATAAATCTTAAATAAAATAGTTAAGTAAGCTAGTGTAACTGTTAACACGTGAAAGATCCCTGGTTTGAAACTGGGCATGGTTGTAGAAGGACATCTGGTGTAAAAATCTGCCTAATAAAATATGCAGACATCATGGGAGCGTAAAGCTAAATATATCACAAATGTGTGTCAAAGCTTGTAAAAAACTGTTTACCGATTTACAGGACCGAAAATCTGTAGTGGCTGGATTAAACAGTGATAACATTATAATTGATACCCGTATCTCAGTAGAGCAATTGCATGTACCCAAAAACTGTTGTCAAAAATGTAATGAAAACTTAAAAAGAGAAAAAAAAAAACACAACTTGGTTGCTGATAGAATTTCAGCCTTGGTGTGGCATTGGTGGTTCTTTCTGTAATCAGAGCAGATGATGGATGGTGGCAGAAGTGCAGCTCAAGGAGACAGTACAGGGCAATACCATCTTTTACTGTTTCCCCACGCTGTCACAAAAAGTGTTCCGTCTGATCTGTGTGTGCACGCACGCACACACGCGCGCACGCTCGCTAAAAATGCACACTCTGCTCTCATTGCTGTAGCTGCTTGTTTACATAATTTTTATTTCTAGAGATCACATTCTTCTACCTCTCACCTTGCCTGCCTACACAAACACATAACCACACACAAATGCATGTATGCCTACACAAGCTTTGTGGAAAAACCTGAGCTAAATTCAGATATCGTGTGCCATGAATGGATGTGGAATAATCACATAACACTGGAGGAACTTTTCTTGATGATGCTTTGATTTTAGACATCGTTAACTTCTTTGTTTTTTAATCTTTTTTGTTCATTTATTCTTACATGACAAGGAGATAAACACGGCTGTTGTGAGAAGCATCTTCATCCCTACAGTGTATATAAATTATTCGTATACCCTCTCCTATATCTATAGTCCAGATAAGACAAAACAAAGTTGTGTTTAAGCTATCAAAAATCAGCTAGGCTGTCCTTGAGGCCCGTCATGAAGCAGAAACAAACAGTGACAAATAGAAGACAGGTCACTGAGCTCCAAAAGACTTCATCAGTCTTGATTTTTTTTCAGGCCTCCCCCAAACATTAAAACCTCAGCAAAAAAAGGGTTCTCTACATTAAAAATCCATTATGCTGGTGTTTTACAAAGTGGTAAAAAAAACCTTTTAAGGTATGAAATAATAATGAAATCTTCCTTCTTGCTCTTCATCCATCTATTCCTCTTTAAACTCTTCCTTCCTGTCCTCCTACCATCACCCCCTCCAGTCTCAACCCCTACAGCTATGATGAGAGCTGTGTGTCCAGCAGCGTAGACCACCTGCCTCTTGCTGCCCTTCCCCTCCTCGCCATTGTCTCTCCACGCTACCAGGATGCTGTGGCGACCGTCATTGACCGGGCCAACCAAGTCTATCGCAGTTTCCTGCAGTCAGAAGACGGTCAAGGGTTCAGCGGTCAGGTCTGTAGTACCTTCTTCTATTTAGAAAAGCGTTGAGAGGTGAGGGGAACTGCTACTCTCTTGTCTCTCATCATTTAGTAATGGGCTTTAGGCCCTTTAATGGAAGTCAATGGAGCAAAGATTGCTTTTGAGTGGGCTTTCTAATGTGTGGAAACTGTGGGTGCTCAGACCCTCAGAGAGCACCAGATCTTGAATGTTTATTGGACCACATTTTCCTCTTTTAGTTATACATAACAACTTACAAGGCTCTTAGTCATGGGCTGCATCTCATAATGGGGAAATAATCTGTGAGAACGCTGTTCACAGTGGACCTGAATTCACACACTGGATTTGGGCCCTTAAATGCCAAATATGTGAACTATTTTAAATGTAGTTACAATTCAGTTCTTCAAGCACTATATGGTAAAAAATTGAAAATGCTCAGGACTTCATGGTGCATGACAAATAGTAAATACATGTAGCTAATGGTCAATGCCATCTACATTAACAGTCAGTATCCTCAAAACAGTGCAAGGACCATTATGATAAAGATAGAGATGTCAATGCCTGTTAAACTTTGATTTGTGTGTGTGTGTCAATACTGTATGCTGCAGGATGTTGTTGATGTTGTGTTTAAGCTCATAATTTATTCTACTCCTGCTTTATGTCTAAAACTGCCCGGCATGCTTTCTCAGTATTTTCTCTCCTAGTAATTACTATTGTTGTAATTACCAAGTTCCAACACTGCATATTTTTAACATCATTAGACTGATGCAAATATAAACATGACTTGATGTGTTCAGTTTAATTCTGCAGACTAATTGCAATGTCTTCAACTCCAAAAGACACTGAAAACAAGCATTGGTAAAACTGATGCATTCAGTGATACAGAAGGAAAGTGCAAGGATATTTGTGTGACAAGTATTACTGCTTGGTGCTGAGCCAGATGCTACTTTTGTAGTCACAGAATTGCCTAAATACTGGTTAATTGACAAGAAAAAAAAGACGTATTACCTAAACTCACACAAAAGAACAAAACAAAAACAAAAACAAATTCAAAGTGTGTCCAGATTTTTGACTGGGAGTACATAAACTAACCAATTTGCTGACAAAAGGACTTCATGGCAGCCCGATTAGCAAAAACCTATTTATTGGCCGACAGATCCTAAAATACAAGACCAAAGGCAGACTAACAGAAACTGAATTAAAAAAATTATACAGAGAGATGCAAACAAACCCTAAGATAATAATGGAGGAGGATAAGCCTACATGTAAATGGCCTGTATTTGTATAGCGCTTTTTCCCTGATTACCTCATGTACATATGAGGTAATCAGGGAACAGGAAACAGGAGGGCGATGAGAGTCAGCCAAGCTTAATCTAGACAGTGAGGCAAGTGAGGTTGTGAACTCAAAAAAAGACGCAACTAACCAGAGACAACTATGCAAGAAAGTAAAGCAGGAAATGAAAGACTAGCAGAACTGAAACAAACTAATGTAACTGGAGACATTCTAATTGTCCAAATTCCCAATATACCTGAGTGAGAATTATAACTTGGAGGGGCCTCTAATTATTGCATGAACTCTATCTTTGAGAATGCTTTTCTTGGAAATGTTTTCGCCATAAAAAATATTTGGGCAATGCAATACCCAAGGGAAATTGAGGAGTTGCTCACAGATGTGAAACAGCTGCAGAATAATGCTGTACAGCAACTTTTTTTAATTTTAATTTTGCTAGCTTTTACCTGCTATTATTATCATAACAACATTTATTATTGCTGTCCACTGATAAATGTACTACATAATTGCAAAACACTAAAATTCCTTGCATACTAACTTTTACTAATGGCATACTGTGGCAGTTATTCTGTGGTACCTACAATATTCTGTTTGCATACAATAAGAAACTAAGACAAAGTCAGCGTCATGCCCTCTAGTTCCAGTAACATATGTTGTTTTCTAAATTCATTGCTCCAGTTCTACTATCACTGAGTGAATCTCATGTAGTGGGTCTCTATATCATATATTTTCTGTGCAGGTTTGCCTGATGGGCGACTGTGTGGGTGGTGTTCTGTGCTTTGACGCTTTGTGCTTCAGCAACCACCAGAGGCCTGGCAGCCCCAACAACAGCAGCAGGAACAATAGCACTGAGAGCCTGAAGGTAGGGACACAGACACTGATGATGCACAGGGAAGACTATTACCGTCTAATGAAACAAAACACTTTCTGGACATGTATGATAATAAACATCAAAATGACATACCTGTGTTTTCCTGGGCCTTCGTCATACATTTGGGTCAACATTTATACTCCATGCTGGATTTCAAGGGGATCTGAATATTCCTGAGGACTAGAGTTCCTGCAGTGTGCATGTAACATATTCATCATGACACTTGTGCCGAACTGCCATCCTGAAGCAGCTTGTTATTTCCCTGTTCTACGCCTTGCATGATCCCAGCCTTGTACTCCCTCCCTCCTCTCAGCCCTATTTTTCCATTAAGATCCCCTCACATCTAATAGACTCACTCTTGCAGACAGTTTTCCCCTCCTCCATTTAACTGTTCACCTGGGAAAACAGATCAAGTCCCATCATGTTATGTGTAATTTCTGGGGTGTAACCACTGTCGTGACTTGAGGTCTTATAGTAGGTTGCATGTTTTTCTCAGGATAACTCGGGCCTGCTGGGGGAGTCCAGCTCGGGTTTGAGCTCTAGCAAGAGGCTGAGCAAAAGCAACATTGACATCTCCGCTCCCAACGAAGGCCAGAGCGGCCCACCACTCAGCCGTAAACAGAGCGACTCTTATGATGGAGACACCTCGTCCACTGGCCAGCACAGCTTTTTCTCCAGGTGAAACAGGATAAAAGAACTTAACCCACAACTAAAGAAATTAAGTGTTTTTAATAAAGTGAAACCAAGTGTTTTTTTAAGATAGTATCTATTAGTATTAGATTTTTGACTTGCTGTTTTCTTTTGCATAATTTTTTCAATAAATTAGCAATTTAATCCCTAGTTTTCTTTATTTATTTTCATAACATTCATCAATATTGTGATATTAAAAATAATACACCATAAAAGATGATTTTATTCATTGTTCAACATCTGTATCTGCAGAGCAGCCATTGTTGATCAGCAATGCTACATTACAGCTTTATATGATGAACCAGATGTTGTGTGCTGGCCCTCTTCCAGGTTTGTCTGGAATACTTTGCCCTGTGTCCCTGCTCTGTATCAATATTTACAGCTTGACTGCACATCCTCTCTACCTGTCTATAGTCTGCTGGACTATAAATAGCCCGTTTGTACCTCTGCCAGCCAGTTTGTGATGGAGACTGAGAACTGCGGGTGAATATGACTGGGGCCTGAAGGGGGAACGACTGCCATGTTGACTTAGTTCAAGCAACCAGTGTTCCCATTGCATATTACATGCTCTACTAGGCTTACACCATTAAGCAGACACACTGGAAATAGGATCTCATCAATTCACAGTTATGCCACATAGTTCACATCAATGCCCCTTCTCACTTTTTGCTTCTACACTCCTGATTAAGCTCCTCGCCTGGGTCTGCCTTTTTTTCCCTACAGTCACCATGAGGGCTTATTAAATCTCCTCTTGCATGGACATTATTCCTCAATTGAGAATTGCCTTTTTGATGTCTCTCACCCGGGAGTTTGTAATATTCCAGACTAAAAATTGCCCTTGAGATAATGCACAAATGATCATGACATTTCTCACGTGGAAACCCAGAAGGGTGTGCTGTGCTTACCATTTATTTTACCATAGATGTCTCTGTTTGTTTGGATCAGTTTCAATGATATTTAGACAGACACAATTTCCAACAAAAAAGCACCAAAACACATTGTTAACATGTGTAAATCTTATTTATTCAAACTACTCAGAAAAAGATGAGATTATGTGAAGATTGCTTGGAGAATGGCTGGCTAGCCCATCACAGAATCAGAGGTGCTTTAGCTTGATGTGGAGGCATCAGTGTCAGATCTGTTTAGTACAGTAATGACACAGCATGCGTTCAATACTCATTAGGTCTCATAAAATGTCAACCATTCACACAAAAACACCACAAATGGGATGTGTGTGAGATTTATCTTGTATACTGACAATAATGTCGACTTCAATGAGAAATAAAAAAAAAAGGATGGGACAGCCACTAAACAACAAGAACAATGTTTCACTTCCTACAAAAACAGGGCCAAATAACACTTATTGAGCTATAGCACACTCCAGCATCTTATGGACAGCAGAAATAAATTTAACATGAAAATGTATTTAAACAATATATATTCAGTGTTTTAGTCATCCAAATCCCAAGGGTACCTCTGCTGTGTAAACAATTCTCAATGAATCACACACAAACAAGAGTGCTTTCTTTTAATTTTCAGGAATTCTTTTCTGTAGCAATGAATTTTCTTTCAAACAAAGACAAAGTGAAGATGTGGATGTGGTGTAGTTCACTAATGTGTGTGCAGAAATCTTAGAAATTTGCACAAAACGTTTCAATGAATTTGCACGTTTCATCTTTAGGCCCACTGATCATTGAAATCTCTTTGCAAACTGCCACACTCCATCTCTTACGTTTGCAAAGAGTTGTAACATGGATTCAATTCAATTCAGTTTTATTTATACAGCACAGCAAATCACAACAACAATCGCTTCAAGGCGCTTTATATTGTAAGGCCGACCTTACGATAATACATACAGACAAAAACCCAACAATCATGTGACCCCCTATCAACAAGCACTTCGGCGACAGTGGAAAGGAAAAACTCCCTTTTAACGGGAAGAAACCTCCAGCAGAACCAGGCTCAGGGAGGGACGGCCAGCTGCTGCGACTGGTTGCTGGTGAGGGGAGGAAGAATAAAAGCAATAAAACTCACTGCACATGGCAAACAATTTGAATGGAAGTCATGATATCCAGCAAGTATGGCTATTAATTAGTTTTTTAATACCATTAATTATTTTACAGATTTTTAGGATATGCAGTAATAGAGTTCATTTAGCTGAGTGATGCATTTACATTTTAGACGGGCATGCTTTGTGTCCAGATGTTTGCAAGGCAGGTCGAATTTATCTTTGCAAATTCAGGTAAAAAAAAAAAACTATTAATGAATCCATGACTCATATGTGAGTTGTTCTTCTGCACATTTTAAATACAGATTTGTGTGTATTGTTTGTGAATGAAGTCGATTGTGTGTGTGTGTGTGTGTGTGCGTGCGTGTGTGTGAAGACAAAAGCTAAAAATAGAATCAGAAAGCAATCAAAGCACTATTGATTTGGCTTTTAAGGATGGCTGGAGACTGTTGGCTAATCCGTCCTCTTTGTGTAGGACTTGATGGGAAATGTTGGCTTGCTGGTAAGCAAATGGATCTCGTCATTCAGCAGCAGTGGGTTCTGTCTGAGACCAACTCGGCTGTTCAAACAACTGTCAGTGTGATGCAGACTGTGAAGACCGGGTGAAAAGCTGCTCTGGCTGAGTCATTTAGGCCCAGGGCTTGCAACAACCCCAGAATGTTAAAACATGCAAGCCTACATTTAAATGTGGACAAAGAAAAAGAATCACAAGTCAACTGCTCCAACATTCTGCTCCAACTGTTCACCATAAGAGATTTTGGATTACCTCTACTTTCGTTTAAAATGTTGTCTTATTGCACATGTAACGCTGCTACACTGCCAGCTTTTGTCATCATGTTAGCTGAATCCTGCACACACACGCCAGAAATCTGTATTAAAATGATCTTTTTGTATTAATTTCCTACTTGCTCATATTTTTCATGGAAAGCAGAGATGTTAAAAGTGATGAATGCACCTTAATCTGTGTTAAGAGGGTGAAGCGTTCGTTTGAATGTTATGTACACACCAGTGATGGACTTAATCATTTCCGTAACATTTTCACATTTTCCATTTAGCTACTGTGAATCATGAGCACTATCTTAATTCAGTAACATTTTTTGCCAAAGAAGAGCTTGTGAATTAGTGCATGTGAGCGTGAAGATAGCATGGTGATTTAATTTAGTTCAGTTTATTTTGGAACCAAATAATAGGAAAAGTCATCTCAGGGCACTTTACGTATTGAGGCGGAGACCTTATATTAATTTAGATACGACAATTCCCTTTGAGCGGGACATTTGCTGACAGTAGGCAGTAAACTCTCTTTTAATAGGAAGGAGCTTCAGGCTTTGGAAGGGGGGACCATCTGCCCTGCATCTGAGAAAGGGCGAGAAACCCCCTTACACACACAACCCAAAAGAAATAAAAACATGTCATAGTAAATATAATAATAATGGATTGGATTTATATAGCGCTTTTCAAGGCACCCAAAGCGCTTTACAATGCCACTATTCATTCACACACTGGTGGAGGCAAGCTACGGTTGTAGCACAGAAGCGGCCCTGCCATATCGCGCCATCGGCCCCTCTGGCCAACACCAGTAGGCGGTAGGATAAAGTGTCTTGCCCAAGGACACAACGACCAGGACAGAGAGCCCGGGGATCGAACCGGCAACCTTCCGGTTACAGATACGCTTCCCAACCCCCTGAGCCACGGTCGCCATGGGTTTTTTTTTTGCATTTTTTCAAAGGGATTAAAGGCTTGTAAGCACTTGTAAAAGTGGCCTCTTTAATATTTTTCTCTTGCATCAGAATTAAATGTGTGGATACAGTGAACAATATATTTTATGAGAAAAAAATATAGAAATATAAAATACATGAGTCTTATAAGTCCTCTATATAAAATACAAGTGTGTACTTTAAAGGGAAACTTTGAATAACATTTTTCTTATTTATTTTCTGTATGAGAATAAGCACTGAGCATGTTTGGTTATTCAGGCAAGTAGCCAGAGATCAGAAACAAACACCTATAAATGGAAGTATGTGCAGAAAGACAGAGGAAAGAGAGGGAAATGGAAAAACTACAGGTGAGAGAAGGGCATACACTGCACACCTTTGGACTCTTAGACCATGGAAGCAGTTAGTAGGGGGAAAAAGCTTGGTGGTGTTGATGGAGCTAAATCAGGCAGACAAATTGGGCTGCACTACATCATTCACATGTAACATGTCTTTCTGTTTTCGAGTGGTATAACAAACGCTCCCTCCCAATTTGACGGCCCATTCAAGCTATAAATTTCCCAACTCCCCCTCTGAGATGTCAGTGCTGCTCCATCACTGTTTGCTGTTTCAACCCCTTCCACCAACCGAGCATTTAGCATTAAGCGCCGGGGGGATGTTTACTCATCGCTCCCCAGTTTCTGCGTATTCAGATCCAAGATGTCAGAACTCTAATTATATTTTTATCTTGTACTGGATTATGTTAAATGTGAATTGCCTGTATGAATGATGTATATTGTGTCTGTTATTTTTAAACTTCCAGTTTGATGAAGGAGGGCACAGAGGTGCGTGGCGGCAGTAGTCCTAGTCTGGTGTTGAACCCAGGCAGATTTGACTTTGAGGTATCGGACTGCTTCCTGCTGGGTTGCCCGCTGGGCCTAGTGTTGGCCATGAGACGCACTGTGCTGCCCGCTGTTCAAGGTAAGAAGGAGAAATGATGCAAAACATGTATTTAAGTACTGTAGATTTAAATTTAATACAATCAATATGTTGTTTTTCTATGAAAATGTTGTAACAAAGTTTACACTGGGTTAGGGTAAACTGATTTTCACTTTGCTTTTATCACTCCACTTATCCAAAGGGCTCGCTTGACTCAGGTTGAAATCATTTCTTATGGTCATGCTTGTCATTTGTGTTTTCTGACCCTCAGTGAGCCAGCTTCGTCCAGCCTGCTCTCAGATTTTCAACCTGTTTTACCCCTCGGATCCTTCAGCTTCTAGACTAGAGCCGCTACTGCAGCCTCTCTTCCACAAGTTGCCACCCTTTGCTGTGCCACGCTACCAACGCTACCCTCTTGGAGATGGACGTTCGGTGCTCATAGGTAGGCCGAGTGATTTAAGCCTGGAAATCAATTTGCTGATATGGGAGGACTGCTGCTCCTGAATATTTCATTGCTTAATCTATTTTCTCATTTCTAATTTTATGAAATCTGGTTTGAATTCTGTTACTCTGACTGGATTACAGGGGTAGACTGACTACAGAGAGACTAAGTGACTTAGCAGTGTGAGTTCTCCCATTTACATTTATACAGGACACAGAGAGCCTTGATCCCATCTGTGTGTTTTTGTCCTATAGAGGCAGAACCGAAATTGCCCCCTAAAGCCTGCGGTTCAAGTAATTATTACTTTATCTTCTTGTGGTGGAGTACCATTGGCTTTACACTTCTCTCTGAGGATCAGTCACAGTATGTGAGGTAGTCAGCTGTTAGATCTGGCACAGCACTGCTGTAATCTCTCTGGGATTCTTGGTTGTAGGGACTCCATAATGAGTCCCTGATTTATTTGGTGCATGTTTTAGCCCACTCTTGGGACATAAAGCTTCTCTCTTAACAGCAGTTATGATGCATCGTCTGGTTCCCCTTTCTCTCCATCCACCTACATTACTGAGAGAAAGTAGGACAAGGACTGATCGCTTGTTTTAACAGCCTACGGGAAGAGATATGAAGATAAGGCTTTGTGGGTTGGTGTGAGGCTTTAGAAAATTGTATACCCTGCTATTGAAGTGCAAGCTTTAGAAATATGCTGAACTAAGAGCAGATTTGTCAGTCGTGTCTACTCAGTTATGGGGAAAATTAATTTCCATTTTGCTTTCAACTATCCTTTTTTATTAGAAACCCTAAAGTGGTATACTACTGAAAAAGAAAAGAGCAGAAACTGTTTATTTAGAACCAGACATGCATGTAATTTTATCAGTTTCTGTGTCACACTTGTTTCCCCTTTAGAAAAGCTGGGACACGAGTGAACAAAAAATAATTTTGTGTGCAAACAGAGATGATGTACATGTTTGTTTATGATTTTTGACAAATATTTGACGAAATGCTCAGCAATACACTAAAATAAAATAAACAAGTGTGACTCACACGAGTCTTGTTGCACATATGAGATGGCAGTCAAAAATTGGCTGCCCTGCCTGTCATAGTTTTGGGTTTCTGTTTCTGTTATTTCCTGTTTTAATTTTGAGATTCCTTTTTTAAAAATTGCTTTATGTTTTTGAAGATCTGCTGCACCGCTGTACAGTTAGCTCATTACTCACTCAGCATAAATACTCTCCAATTACCTTTGCTTCTTTTGGCTACAGCCTGTTGATTGAAGGCTGGAACTTCAATGCAGCTGTCCTCTCCGTGGGTCCTTTCCTGTGAGAAGTTGCATGTCAGGCAACAAAAAAATAAATAAACAAAGACTTCAGTGTTGTATTTCATTAAAAACAGGAATAAGCTATTAGAAACTGTCATGGCTGTATGCATGCAGGCAGGGATGGAGGACCCAAATACAGACTCAAAAAGGGCAGATGTGAGCTTTAACAGCTTTATTGCTGGACACAAACTGAACTAAACCGAGAGACACAAACGTAAGCTAAGGCAAGGGAGACAGAACACACTGCTTGGTGAGGGTACGACACGACGACAAGTAGGAGCAGACACGGACACTAAATACACAAACTCGGTAAAAAGGAAGAGGCGCACAGGAGGGAGACACACCTGAATCTAATTGGCCAAGACGAGACAAGGGAAGCAAGACAGAATACGCTAACCTGAGACACGGACCTTCAAATTAAAACAGGAAACACACAGACAGAACTTACAGACACAGACTCATGATACTGATACATCAGGAACATAAGGACAGGGATGACTAGACAGGAAAGGTGGGACCAGGGCAGTTACAGAGACACAGACCAGACACTAAACAGAGGGAGCACTGAGTACCTAAGAGATACAAAACCTAAGAGATAGAAACACCAAACAGAAATCAAATCCTAATATACATGAAGCAAGATGAAACCAAAGACTAAGAATAAAAAATAACAATGCAAAATCCAAAACACTGGGTCACTGACCCAGGACCATGACAGAAACACCACAAATAAGCAAATAATTAGCACTTTAGTTACTATATGTTACATATAAGAATAATGTTTCCCATATCACTCTACTGCATGCTGAAGCATTTTTTGAATAGTGAGCAGATTTCTCTGAGCACTTATTGCTATCCAAGTAATTAGTGAGAAATCTGGTTATTTTTTTCATTTCCTGTAAGGAGGGTTCAGTTATGTAACAGAAACCTCCGAGTGTCAATGGGGAATGCTTAACACAGAACCATGTAGGGTTATTCTTTGTGTGAAATGAATCTAATTAGCTAAACTACTGTATCTAATCCTAGAGCAGTCATTGAAGCAGTCATTAGATCATTGAATCATTTGTTGTTTAAACATGGACTCATGGCTGATTCTTCAATGAGACCTATGTAAAGGAAATATCTGACACATGCTTGAACCCCTGAGGTCTTTTTTTCCTTTTCTTTAAAAAAATGTAATTGCATCCAGCTGGTCACAAATGGAGATGCTTGACGCCTCTTAGAGCCAGAAGTGCTGATAAAGGTGATGAAGTGTAAAAAGCACACAGACAGCACTGGCTTGCAGCTACAGTGGGTTTTAATTAGAGGTCTGCATCCCAGTTCTGTTGATCAGACTTGGAAGCTCTCAAATTGCGATGTGTGTTAAATCGAAAACCATAGACAGGTGCAGGCGCACAGAAGTTACAGCAGCGCTCACATTACCCATTTCCTGCTCTGTAATATGGTAATTAGTTGTTATGAAGGCATGGAGAGCCAATCAAATCAGGCTCCTGTGGGTATGACTTTGACATCTACACCCGCCAACAGTAGAGCTTTTATTATGATGAATGCTGCTAATATACAGAGAATGGGCCCTCTTGTTATTGATTTCCAGCAACAGCCCAATGGGAAATATGATCATCCAAACAGCAAATGCAAAAGGAATTATAATAATCCTTATCAGTATTAATGGCACAGCTAATGGCGTTTTAATGTAAAAGGTTGACGGCAGTATATTTTAGCTCACCATAAATGTATTTGTTAATCAGATGTTCAGTATGGAGGCTGAGAGCGCTGCAATGGCTGAGTGGGTTGAAAGTCCCTTTTCATGTCTTTTTGTGACAACGACTTTCTAAGGATCATCCTCCCTCACTTGCAAAGTCATCTGTTCATCCTTTCTTTTACCACTCATTCTTCACACTTATTGAAAATTCCTTCTATGTAAATACTGGTAATTTAACCAAACCTCTGTTTGCTCTTATTGCTTTAACTTAGGCACACACAGACATGCATATAAGCAGGTGGGGAAGAAAAACTGGAAAATGTATGTCCCCTTCCATCTCCATTTTTCCTGGCAACTCTAGCAGATTTTTATGACCCTCTTCTTCCTCAGCACGCATCTTTGGTGGTTTGGTGAATGCGCATGTTTCAGAAAATGACGCCAGAGTCAGTGCCGCCCCCACCTTTTCTGACTCTCTTTGCTCATTGTGCTGTGAAAGAAAGATAGGGCTGTGCAATTGTTCGATAGACTGAAGGAGAGGAAGGTCCCTCTGAGAGGCTTAGGGCAGGTCTCATTAATGAAAGCAGGATGTTGAGTGTGTCTGCACTTGTGTGTGCTTACTTTGAACACTTTTGTTATCGGGACAGTGGAGGTAAAGCTTCACAAGATCCCCCCCCCCATAACATTTTACAGTGATGTTTAAGTTTGAAAATGATTAGGTTTGATTGGGTTTACAGCAGGAGTACTACAGTGAAACTTGAATCAATGTGATGTCCTCAGTTTAAATACAACTGTGTCTGTATGAGTGATAAAGTAGCGACAGGAAGTACAGGAAGGAATTTTTTTCTTTCAAATTATTGAAGTGAAAATAAAGCACTACCACTATAAAACACAAGGTGTATGGGTTTTTGTGTGATATTGATGTACAGCTTTGGAAATTTTCATTTAAACAAAATTTATGCCCCTCAAATAATACATTTATACCAACTGTCTGATTACTGTTTAGATCTTGGCCTCTTGTGATTAGCACCAGGTCACTGACAGAAAAT